TTTAGTAAAGCTTATTCACTTTCCACCCCAGCTTCCAGCAGCTCACAAAGGGAAAGTTAATGCTGTGAGATGCATCCTTTTTTCCAAGCTTTTAAAAAGTGTGGTGCTGCTCCTGCCTGTACCAATAGCAGTAGCAGTGATGCTGCTGCTGGTCCATCAGAGACAGTAGCTAGCATGTCTACTCCTGTGGCATCAACAATCACTGCTTCTCCTGTACCTCTGCCAACAATTGCTGCCCCAAAGCAGCCCGCTCAGCTGCCCAGTGACTTAAATGGCAATACACCATCCCAGCCAATACTGGGTAGTTACCCCAAACGTGTATTTGATGGTACATCATTAAGATCATTCAATCCTGCCTGGTACCGCACGCGACCATGGCTGGAGTACTCTGTTGTGTGGGACGCATGCTTCTGTTTCCCCTGTCGGAAATATGGCAGCACTGTTAATGAGAGGGATGTAGTTTTTACCTTAACTGGTTTTAACAGCTGGAAAGCAGCACTTGATCGAGACAAGGGGCTACAGAGGCATGTGTCCAGCCACAACCATGTGCATGCTTCAACCATCTGGACTGAGCATAAAAGCAGAGAGGCTACAGGGGGAACTGTGGATTCAATGTTGGTTGGTAAAACACAACTTGAAAAAAACCATTACTATGTCAAGAGTATTGGTAGTGCTATAAAGTTCCTCTGTGTAAATGAATTGGGGCTCCATGGGACTGCAGAAACTTTGAGACATGATGCAGCGGGTAATGATGATGACATTGCTTCAGGTTTTTTTCTAAAACTGATGGAAGCTAGCAAGCATTGCTAAGGGTATCTCAAAAAATGCAAAATACACATCTAAGGATATCCAAAATGAAACACTGGTGCTTGGAGAGGTCAGGAAAAAATACGAAAGCGCTGATTTTGCAGGGTTTTTCCTCAAAAGTGATGGGACCAGGGATAGGTGCAATGTGGGAAATTGTCTGTGATAATACGGTTTGTCAGAAATTCCATGCCAGAGGAGCATCTTATTGGGTTGCTTGACTTGATGCAGGGTTCATCACCTCTGAGATACTGTTACACCTTTCTGATGCTGGTTACAGTGCTGACAGTATACTTAGCCAGTGTTATGATGGGGCTTCTGTGATGAGTGGGCTTAGAGGTGGTGTACAAGCTCTGCTCCAAAAGAGGCTTGACAGATATGTCCCATACATCCACTGCTACAGTACAACCACCAACTGCACTTAGTGGTTGTGCATGCCATGCAGAGTGAGCCGTGTGCAAAAAGATTTTTTAGCCTGTCTAGTTCACTCTTCAACTTTTTTTCACCACCACTTTGTGCTCAATAAACATGATGCACCTTGTCTAAAAAAGCTGCTTAAGATCAGATGGACAAGCCACTATGAGGTGACAAGGTGCACTATGGACAATCAAGAACAAATCCTTAGTATCCTATCTGAGATGACAGAGGATGATGATGCTGCAGTTGACCTGTGCACCGAGGCATCAGGCCTACTATGCCAAATTAAGAGGCATCACTTCTTCGAGATTGGAAAGTTCCTAGTGCGGGTGCTTGGTGTCTTGAAACCAGCAAATTCTATTCTACAGTCTCAGTCAGTTGATCTGTGCAGTGCTGCTGAGGTTGTTAGTGCAGCACTGGACTCCTTAAAAAACACTCGTGAGGATGACTGTTGGGGAGTGTCATTTCCTGCTGAGGATGAGTCACATCCAACAAAGAGAAGGAGAACAATGATTAAACACCTGGGTCAAAGTGTTGTGCTCTCAACTTTGGGCCATACAGACTCTGGTGACCCAACCATTTCCCCCCATCAGTCTCTGAAAAGATCTCTGCTCAACATCCTTGACAGGGCCATTTCAGAAATGGAAACTAGATTTTCACACAAGAATATTGATCTGATGAGAGCCATATCTAGTCTTGCACCCAAATCTAGCATATTTCTAGATCCCACCCTGTTGCACCCTCTGGCTGTGATGGCTGGCATTGCAGCAGATTTAAGTCTGAAAAATGAAGTTATTGTGGCAAAACAGATGCTGCTCAAAAAATGTTCAAAGGAAACAGACCTGTCCTCTGTGTGCAAACTCCTGCAAGAGTACAAGGAAGCCTTTCCTGAGTTGCATAAATTGTATGTAACAGCCCTGGTAATTGGGGTGTCTTCAGCACGTGTGAGAGTTCCTTCTCCACTTTGTCAAGGGTCCTAACTCCCTATCGTCGCACCATGTTACATAAAAGAAAGGAATTTGGTGATCTTAGCCCATGAGAAGTCCATAACAAATAACTTGGATATGGATGAATTTGTAAGAGTTTTTGCAAAGGGAAACAGGAGACTGTTGTTGTAGAGTGGATTGAGGAGAAAGGAGAGTGGAGCTTTTCAGTTGCAAACAGGGAGTTCAGTTGATTGCAAAACAAACCAGCTTAAAACAAGACAAAAAGACAAAAAAGAATAAAAAAGTTCAAATGTTCTGTTCTAAATCTGTTGTTTTCTACAAATCAGTTTGAGAATTGTAGGAATTTTTTTTTTTTAATTACTATGCCAACCCTTTTTAGTTTTGTAAATATTGGCTATATAGAGAGGTCTTATTTTATTCTTACTTTATTTTGCAAAAATTTTTTTGAGAATTAGGCCATCCAATTAAGATAAATTTTATGTTGTTCGTTGTAAAGATCTGGATGGATATTTTATTTTATTCTTTATTTTATTTTATTTTTTATTCTATTTTTCAGTTTTATTTTTCAAGACTTGGTGAATTGATTTTTTTTTATAACTTGGCCTACCCTTTTTAGTTTTGTAAATATCGGCAATAGTGAAAAGTGTTTTGTTGGGTTCAAATATGTTTGATATAGGCCATCCAATTAAGGTAAATGTCATGTTTTTAGTTGTTTTAATCTTTAATCTGATGAGGAATATTTTATTTTATTTTTTGTTGTTTTATTTTTCAGTTTTCCCCCTGAGGGATTGCCAACTTACTGTGGTCAGGGGGTTTGCATGCCTCAGTGACCCTAAGAGCTACACCAGCAGACGCTTAGCCTTCAGGTGGGACCCCTAAGTTGGACAAGTCTTAGGGTAGAGGCCTGACAAAGTGCAATCCAATTACATGACAAAAACAGTTATCCAGAGCAGTTAACAGTTATCCCAAGTTGGCAAACTAATGATAATACCATCTACAAACCATCAATAAAAGCGGATTAAACTACACAAATCGTGCATCATGAAAAACAGAAAAATATTACGCAGAAATACAGGATGGTTATTTAATTAATTAACTTCGTGTGAGAACCCCATGTGATCAGCTGTTTCTGGTTGTTGTCATTAGTCCTCTGTATTAAGTCCGCGTTTCAGTTCGTTTCCCCAGTCCGGTCATTAGGTGCGTTCGACTCAAAAGGGTCTGGCTGCAGCCGCTCAGAACGTGCACTCTCAGCCATCTGCACGCTCAGCCATGACAGGAAGTGCAACCAGGGAATCGTTTCCTATTTGCTAAGTTAGTGCTAATGAAGTGTAAAAATGGTACGTTTTCCAGTTACTGTCTTGCCAATTATGAACGATATGAAATATTCTTAACCATATATGTTAACATGTGCATATTTATGTTGTTTGGCTGGCCGTTGTTGGTTTATTTAAAATGTCAGATTTTAAAACAACGCATTCTTATCCTGACGCAATGCATTACGGTTAGATGCATTGCGACCTCTCACCCGGCTGCACAAACTGGAACCGCGTCCGTGACGACACACCTTTGCCCTTATTGGCTGAAGAGTTTAGTTACACGCATGACGTTTGTATCCCAGGCAGTTCCGAAGTAATCCGAACTTCCGATGCGTAATCTGCTATTTCTCCCGAATATCACGTAAAGCAGTGAGAACTGGTTTTCAGTTAATTTATCTGATAAAATAAAGATAAAAAAAATGACATAAATGCTCTAATAGTACACGTAAGTTAGTGGTTTATTT